GCACAAGAATGGTAGCAATGATGGGGTGGGGTCTCAAGTTCAACATTATCAAGAGTCAAAACTCTAACACGAATTCATCCTCTTTAAATAAATTCCAGAAAAGAAACTAAACAAATAAGATTATGATTTCAACGATATTTCAAGAAGAGACATCCGATTTAAAGATGCATGCATATTCTATCATCTGAAAATATGATCGGACGTCACATGCAAGGATTTTCTCCTTCTTTCTTAGAGTTTAAAGAACATGGGTCATAGATTATTATCCCAACGAAGACGCATGCAGGTCTTGGATGAATAATCTCTCCTCTTCAAATCCCAAAATTTTACTTAAAGAATTAAGTAGAGAGAAGGATAAAGWCTTTCGGATATCTAAAAGAAAATAGGACAACTTTAAAACATACCTTTTCTTGACAGGTTGATACGATCGAGTCTCAAGAACAGCAAAAGTCTTAAGTTTTGCAAGGATGTTTAGAATCGGTTGGAAGGTGATGGAGTTAGAGAGAGAGAGAGAGAGAACGGAATAGCTGGAGTTTTGGAGAATGAAGAATTTTCAAAAGGAAAGGGGTAATTATATGGGGCTTCTAGAGAAGGAATGGGCTGGCCTATAAAGGCCCAAGCCCAAGATGCTTTTATTTTCTAAATACTAGACCCCAATAATTTTAAATAAACAAAACAATTTGACAAAAGATTTTAAAACTCCACTCTTTTAAATTAATTGGCADCTTAATWTAAAAAGATTRGACTYGRATATCAACTTTATTTTTATGAAACATTTCAAGACTATTTGGCATTGCATAAACTAACTTGGTTAGCTACCCGCCAAAACATCATCTAAAAAACTAATCTTGGGAGATAAGCAAGATGATCTCAGATCATCGAGGCTAAATCCTAGAAAGACTTAGTTTTAATTAAAGATCCTAAAATAAGGCACTAACCTGAAATCCCAAAAATGCAGAATATTCACAACTTTTCAATTAGACCCAAAAAATGTAAAAGATGAGTTAAGCCTCCTTTTATACTTTCCTTTTCAAGAAAGTCGGCAGCCTTTCTCTCCATCCCTATATGCATGCACACACACACACACACACACCATGCACACACACACATATATATATATATATATATACAACTCTTGTATATACACTCATACATAATTATACCTATACATGTACCTCATTATGGATGTAATTATATCCACATATTTAATGCATACTTATTTATGCATAGAATTTCGCATATTAGCTTCCTCAAATATAACAATTTATCATGTTGTCACGTAGTCACATATAACAAATATTTATATATTTATTACCTCAAGTGACAACCAAGATCTGGTTATCATATGAAACATCTAGATTTTCTACGAATTCAATTTAATTGATTTTTATGTCTTCCGTTTTATAATCGATGTTACGTATTGTTATTTCAAGTTTATATTACAATCTATCCACTGAGCCCCATGCTCAGCCGTGTTCTTGTTTTCTGACACGGTAAGTTCTAAGGGATACTAATAAGGACGGGACTTAAGATCGAGCGTTTGACTTTGGAGTTTGTAAACTCATTTGTAGATGTATTGTTAGACCCAGATATTTAAAGATAATACTTAAGAACAATAGGTATTTCTATTAATTAAACTAGATATTCAAAGATAAACATGAAGTAGTTAAAACAGCTCTTTGAATAACCAAATGCTTTTATTTATAAATGATGAACAATTGAAGAATAAATGTAATCTCACAAGAGTTTGTGTATAGTTTAAGTCGGCTCCTTCAGGTAGATTTAAACCTGAGGCAGAGGCCTCCTTTTATACACTAGTGTCTAACTAACTATGTAATAAATTAGGCGTGAAACTCTGAGTTGACTAGTCTGCATCCTTATCTTTGACTTCCATGATTAGCGGAGCAGACTTGGTCAAGCCTCCTTTATGTTGTTAGATGCTTGCGAGAATGTTTGGGCTAACGCACGCTTTCCGTGAAGTTGGTAGCCAGATGCTCTGCATGAACATACAGAAGCTCTGCATGTACTATGTAGAGGCTCTGCATATGCAGAAGCTCTGCATGTACTATGCAGAGGCTTTGGGTGTTGGAGTTGTTTCTTGGAGTCAAGCGCTTATGCTTTTTGGTGCACAAGACTTGAACGATCACGGAGGTAGAGCGCGACCTTTGTATAGCGGAACCTTCACTCTGAGTAAGAGCTCTAGTCCTTGATCCTCTGCATGAGAGCTCTTAGCCAGACAACTTCTATAGACTAAGTCCTATTGACTAGAGCAAGACACTTCTTACTTACACTTTTATAGGTTTGGGGTCTAACAATCTCCCCCTAAGTGTAAATAAGAAGGATTCTTACTTGATTTGCAAAACAAGTCTAATAGAAGACAGAGGTAAAAAACAACCTCTGGTTTACATTGACTATCTAATGAAGTACAGTACGATTGAAATTGAAATTACATTGAAACAAAACTGAGAATGTAATTACAGAAGATAAGATGTCTTAAGCATTTTTAAGTCCAATGAACTTCCTAAGAAGTTCACGAAACTCAAGCATATTTCGAATGGAGCTTAGAATTATTTTGGCACGCTCCTTGGCTCCAAGGGAGTTGTCTCTGCTCCTGACCAGATTGTCTCTTATGTAGCGCAGAGTAGACTTGGAGTGCTTGTAATTTTGGTTGTCTCGAAAGAAGATCTTTTGATTGTGCTCATTTCGAAACACCACTGCCACTTCTAGTTCCACCAAAACCGTCCAGGAAGGAATGTTGTTGATGCCGTGTAGTTCTTTATTTGGGGCAACAACTGTCATTTGATCTGCTCCTAGATCCAGAGCTAGTTGGAAGTCAAACTTGCTTCTGTAGTCAAGCAGATATGCCAGTGTTTGACAGATGGTAGTGTTGGTAACAACGAACTTCACTCCCTTGTCCTTCTTGTGGTCTGTAAAGTAGAACAAATGAAGAAGATCCCACAGATTTTGATTAATGAGGTCACAATCAGTGAACCTACATATCCTTCCGTGAGTCCTCTCAACTGTGTACTCGTAGAACACTATCTGATTATGCACAAAGGTGCGTTTCTTTATGTCTAGGACTTGTTTTATTCCATCAACGAAGTGGACTGCAGTGGTTGGTTGAGTATAGCGATCGAGGAATCTCTGCCTGATGTGCTCTTGAGCCATCGGATGGGGACTAATCTTCTGGACCGGTGTCTCTTCCTTTTGGTTGTAGAGGTACTAGTAGATTTCCTTGCTATCTGCCTTGTCCTTTATGGGTTTGTTGATGGGTGTTGGTTTGAACATGGCATCCATGCTTGCTTTGATCCTTCGGAAGCAATCAGAGGGATGCTTTCATTTTTGCCCGCTGGTTATGCCTTCTGAGTCTGTTCTCTTTGGATTGATCGGTACATGCTTCATTGCAGGAGTGACAATCCTGGTCCCTTGAGCAGGGACCCTAGCTCTGTGGGTTCTTGGATGTGGTGAAGAAGCATCAACGATTACTTCTTCTAGAGAAATGGCAACCAGAATGTGTAGTAGCGACGGATCAGCCACATTCACGGCTGCCACCTCTTCTTCTTGTTGGGCTGTTGTTGATGGAGCAGCCATGTCCATAGCATACTCTGTTGAGGAGGACAGAGCTACGTCAGAGTCGTCTGGTCCATAGGTAGATAGAAGGTCGATCACTTATGTAGACTTGTGTGGCATGGCTGGCTCTGCCTCTGATGTCATAGGCATTTTTCCTTTGTGTTGTCTGGCACTTGCTGGCTTTGATTACTTTTCCTTGGTTGACTTTGATGGTGTGGAGCAGAGGACGATGGTGCAGAGGTGACAGCCGGAGGTGTTGCATTTGGTGTGGCTGTAGGTAGGTTCTCCCCCTCTTGGCCATTTTGAGGACAAGACTCGTCTGGGTCCTCATCATCGTTAAGTCGCCTCCTCTTTGACGGTTCAGCACATGGAGACTGATCTCGCTGTCTCTTAGGTCTTTCATCCTCTACTCGAGACATGGATCCGATCACTTCCTTGATGGTTTTGAGGAGTTCATCGACTGCAATGGAAACCCTTCACACTTCATCGTCTGAATGGTAGTTGAATCGAGCGAGAGTGTTGTTGATGTTCTTTGCTGCTGTTCTGGCCTTGCTATTGAAGTCTGTAGTGAAGTCTGCCACCTTCTGTAGGAGTCTGTCACCCAGAGCATTCATGGCGCTCTGTGTGACATAGTCCACAGGTACACTCAGAGTTATGAGGGCCTGGTTATTGATCGACGTAGACGCCTCAACCCTCTGTAGAGATGCAACAACCTGCTATAATGTTGATGTATTGGTTGCTGTCAATTCCATTAGTGTATTGATACGAGAAGCATTTATCGTAGACTCAGCTCTTAGTACAGCCAAAGATGCTCGTATCTCATCCAGAGAAGGTGTAGAAGGGGACGACTCTACACGGGCCATGCTGAGTTTTAGCTCTTCAAAGGAGCACTGCATAGAGGTGAAAAGGGAATGGAACGCTTCCCTAGTGACATATACAGATGTGGTAACATCTGGCTCAACACATGGGCCAGATTGAATCCCCGTTCCAGGGACGCCTTCTGTAACGACCTGATTAACGTTAGTCGGGGAAAGGCTTCCAGAAGATCCTTGTGGTTCTCCTTGAGGAGAATTCACTATTTTTGTTCTGTCAAAGAGAGGAACCAAGACTGGTTCAGAGCCGGCCAGAGGGCTCTCCATGAGTGGACGAGGAGACTGGTCGAGAGTCTCACAGTCTGGTGTACGTAGTCCTTGCTCTGAACACGGTTGGGGTTCTAGTTGTGTAGAGGAAAAAAATTCCTCTGTGTGGGAAAGTGGCGTGATATGGGGAGACATATCACTTATGTTTTCAAAGGTTACACCCTTTTGAGAGGGTGTTCCCTGTGGAGAGGTGTCCCTTTGGCTAATATAACCAGAGGCAGATGCGACCTCTGTTTGGATAGGCTGGTTAGGGTTCGAGGTGTGCACCTCTGTTTCAATGATCTCCGTGTCTCAACCACCGGAGTCAGATAGTATGGTTGCACTTGGAGTGGTGTAGGTGAATCTGATGTGCTTATTTGGCCTAGGTTGCTCTGTCCCACCCTGAGACAAAGCAACTGCTTCACCTCCTCCCTCTTCTTCCTCTTCTTCTTCCTTGCTCTCCTCTTCATCTCTCTCACTCTCTGTCTCACTCTCTTCTTCGTCACTCTCTTCCTCCTCTTCTCCACTTTCTTTGCTATTGTAAGACCGTGCAACATCATCATAATGCTCTTGGTCATCCTCTTGGTTTGGACTAGAGGATTGAGCCAAGATTTGACGAGCCTCCTCTTCTGCTCTTAGTCTGGCCTCTTTTCTTAGGCGAGCGATTTCTGTTTGGCGAGCCTGTTCTGCCAGCTCTTCCTCTGCTCATTCTGCCTCCTTTATCTTCTTCTCCCTTTCAGCTTTCTTTTTCCTTGCCTCTTCTCATTTTCTTCCTTTTTCTCTCCCTTGTTGTACTCTCACTCTTTCTTCCTCAGCTCTCATTCTCTCTACTCCAACTCTCATCGGTCCTCCCTCGGTCTGAGGAATTGTTGTGTCCTTAGTTCTCTCTTCTTCATCGACTGCTCCTATACGTACCGGGGTTTGAGACACTGGTTCTAGTGTCTCGCGTGTACGTTTGTATGCTCTCCTAATCTCCTTAGACTTCATGTAGCTCATTAGTCTCTTTGGAATAGGTCTTTCTGCTTCATAACCTTCCTTGTGCACTGTTGGTGTGTATTGAGTGAATACGTTTACCTTGTGAGGAGGTAGACGACCCACATCAATGTTGTTTTCATTAAGAGCTAGTCTTAGGAGAAGACCCAAGAATTAGGGAAACAACAAGGATGGCAGCTGTCTTCCTTTGACCACTTCTTGACACTTTTTGGCTACTGCAGCCTTGAACTCAGTGTACAATATCGAGGAGTAGTCGAGGGACAGGTCGAAGAAAATACCGTAGATGATTTGTAGAACACTCGTGGAGCATATATCGAGGCTCCCTATCTTCCCTTTCAACAAACGATTGATTAATATGAAAAGAGTATTCCATATCGGTTGTAAGTGTTGACGGCAATATTGTGAGGGGTATTGAATGGCCTTGTTGTATCCCAAGAACTTTAGGAAAGTGACAATTTCATCTTCGGTAGGAAGAGGGGCGTATTTAGAAAGCCCTAAGTCTAACTTTGTTGGTATTTCAAGAACTCGTGAAAATAAGGATCTTGAAATTGGAACTGTGACGAATTCTTGAGTGGCAGAGACGAAGAAATCTCCTATGATCCCTCTTTAGGATTAAGTAACGGTGTAGGATTGACAATATTCTTGTATGTATCTCTCAGGAACCAAGTCATCAGTGTTGGTCATGGCTGGGTTTAAGAAGTGGTTTTGGAGAATGTTGATGATGGGATGGTATTTGGTGTTGAAGTTGTCAAGTTGAAGGTTTAGGGCTTGGTTATTTGGTTTGATGGGTAGGGGAACAAGGTTTTGACTGGTATTTTCCATGGTTTTGTGGGTTGTGGTATGAGTTTGGGAGTTTCCAGATTATGAGGAGGACATTGTTGCAGGTTTTGGGTTTTGGAAGGAGATAACAGATTTATAGGGTTTCTAGAACTGGTTCTTGAATCAAGAAATGTGATGAAAGAACGGATTTGTGGTACTTACTTGTGAATCAGGATGATTGGTAGAAGATGGAAACGATCTTTAATTACAGGTTTGAGAGCTTTGAGTGCTGGCAATGGCGGTTGAAAGGTTGAAGTCGGCGAGAGTTCTTTGAGAAATTTTGTAAGCGTAAAAGATTAATTTAGGGGCTTAGAAATTGTTTAAATAGAAAGTATTTAAAACACTTGAGTGTTTTAGCGCCCCAAACGTCAAATAAAACTGAACTGGTTTTTGCAAAGCCTGTGGGGGCCTGCCACATGGATTGCCAGCTGCCAGTGGCGCCTCCTACGTTTGAAAAGATAAATAAAACTAAACAGGCGGTGATGCTTATTCTGGGTAACAGCTTTTATTAAATAAAAAAAACTCTACACCTTTCGAATTAAATAATATATTTTATTTTTCAAAAAGGCAACAAGAAAAGTTTCTAAGTGTAAAAGTTCTGGTTTGAGAAAAGTAGAGGTTTTGATTAGAACCAAAGAATTATATACAGAAGAAGACATACCTTAAGATCTCAAACAGAGATTCATGATTACACTATACATGTCCTCTGGAGAACACTTTGCTATGTTTAGAGACAGAGGCTCTGTATAGTACATATAGAGGCTCTGTTCAATAACCATGAGTTTTAATGCAGAGGTTCTATATAGTACATACAGAGGCTCTGTTCTGAGATGATGATGTGCTCCCCCTTGAGTTTAGCCTTTCTTATCTGCTCCCCCTTGAACTATGCTTCGATCTTTTATTATAAGTAGAGTTCATGTATAATGATCAAGGTACAGAGGCTCTGTATTGCAAAAGAACTAGACGAGTAAGAGCCTCTTCATGAACTATGTAGAGGCTCTGTTCTATGAAAAAGAAACAGGATGCATAAATGGATGCAGAGGCTCTGTATAGCGTATACTGAGGCTCTGTTCTAGCTTGAGAGATTTAGCATACCAAACTTGCTAACTAGGAAATTGAATCTCTTTTCATCAAGAGGTTTGTAAAGATGTCAGCAAGTTGTAAATATGTTTTTACAAAGAACATTTCAATCGTACCTTTCTCTACATGGTCCTTGATGAAATGATATCGAACATCGATGTGCTTTGTTTTTGAGTGTTGTACAGGGTTGGCTGTAATTGCAATAGCACTTTCTGAGTCACACAAAATTGGAACCTTCTCAAACTCTACGCCATAGTCTTTCAGTTGAGTCTTCATCTATATGACTTGGGAACAGCAGCTGGCTGCAGCGACATATTCTGCTTCAGCGGTGGAAGTAGAGACGCGGTTCTGCTTTTTCAAGGTCCAACTTATGATCTTGTCCCTAAGCAATTGGCAGCTTCCTGATGTGCTCTTTCGTTCGAGTTTACAGCCTGCATGATCAAAATCTGTGTACACAATAAGATCGAAACCAGAATGCTTTGGATACCAAAGACCCAAAAATTGAGTCCCTTTTAGTTATCAAAAGATTCTTTTTACTGCAGAAAGGTGAGATTCCTTTGGATTTGCTTGAAAACAGGCATAGAGACCTGTGGCAAACATAATATCCGGTCTACTAGCCATGAGATATAGTAGTGAACCAATCATTCCACGATACATTTTAACATCCACCGACTTATCAGATGGATCTGTGTCAAGTTTAGTACCTGTAGCGATTGGTGTTCTCATATTTGATGAGTTATGGTGTTGGTACTTCTTTTAATATGTCGGAGACATACTTAGCTTGGCTAATGAATATACCATCTTCCCTCTACTTTACTTGCAAGCCAAGGAAGAAGGCCAATTCCCCCAATCATGCTCATTTCAAACTCACTCTTCATTAACGCAGAGMAYTTMTCACAATGCCTCTGGTTCGTTGAACCAAAGATGATGTCGTCCACATATATCTGTACTAAGAGCATCTCACCTTTATACCTCTTAATAAACAAAGTTGTATCGATTTTGCCTTTTTCAAAATCATTAGATAAGAGGAAAGACGAGAGACATTCATACCAGGCTCGAGGTGCTTGCTTAAGTGCATACAGAGCTTTGTCTAAGAAATAGACATACTCTTGATGTGTGGAGCTTTCAAACCCCAGAGGTTGTTGAACGTAGACTTCCTCCTTCAGCTTACCATTCAAGAAGGATGACTTTACGTCCATTTAATAGACTCGGAATCCCTTATGTGCAGAGAAGGCTAAGAACAAGTGTATAGCTTATAGCCTCTCTACTGGCGCAAAGGTCTCGTCATAATCTATGCCTTCTACTTGGCAATAGCCATTTGCTACGAGCCTAGCTTTATTTCTTACCACAATCCTATCCTCGTCCTTCTTGTTCCTGAAAACCCATTTACAACCAATTGCATTTTTCTCCTTTGGTAAGGGAACAAGAGTCCATACCTTATTTCTCTCGAATTGTTGCAGCTCTTCTTGCATAACATCGACCCAATTCATGCACTTTCTTAGGCTCTACCATGCTAAGGAAGTTTACTAATAAACATTCATTAGTAGTGGCAACCCGTGTTTTTATGCCACTTGAAGGTTCACCAATGATCTGGTGAAGAGGATGATTCTTTGTCCATTTTGTTCTTGGGACACAGAGAGAAGTGGGGGACATTTGATCACGTTCCATGTGCATGTTTGGCAGTAAGCTCGTTGATGGTGAAGAAAGCTCTGCTTGCTCCCCCTCGGATGATGGTTCAGAGGAACCAGGTGCAGAACTAGAGGTATGATACTCTGGTTCTATGTGATTGGGCTCTGATGAAGAGGTTGTTTGCTCTGGTTGTCGATTGATATGATCATCATAGGAAGCAGAGGTGTGTGAAGGACCAGAGTCAGATGTGCTTGTCGTTTGTGATCCTTCACTTACACTCGCAGATGCATCTCTTGGTGCACATGCAGAGATGTCTTCGTCACCATAAAAGTCTTTAAATAGGAGCATGAGTTCCAATTCCCTTGATTTCATTTGAGAATTGGAAGTCTAGTGGTTAAGATCAAGTCCAGAGCTGAGGTACTCTGAAGTCAATTGTTCTTTATCGTCGAACGAGACGTTGATGCTTTCCATGATCGTCTTGGTTCGATGATTGAAGACTCTATATGCCCTGGCTTTTGTTGAATAGCCAAGGAACTTCCCTTCATCTACCTTCTTATCGAACTGGCCAAGTTGATCTCTATCATTTAATATGAATCATCTGCAACCAAAGACATGTAAAAAATTTGACTTTATGCTTTCTTTGGTTTATTAGTTCGTAAGGCGTCTTCATGTGTCTCTTAACCACCGTTGCTCTGTTTTGAATAAAGTAGGCAGTAGAGATTGCTTCTGCCCAAAAATGGGTTGGAAGACCAGAGCTGTCTAGCATGGTGCGTGCAGCTTCGACCAAAGTTCTATTCTTTCTTTCTATGACACCATTTTGTTATGGTGTTCTCGCTGCAGAGAAGTTTTGAGTTATTCCTTCTGTGTCCAAGTATGCATTAATCTTGGTGTTCTTGAACTCTGTTCCATTATCACTTCTCAATTTATGAATTTTGCTTTGTAGAAGTACTTGAATCTTGGTCATTAATTTAATTAGCAGCTCTGGTACATCTGATTTCTACCTTACAAACTCAATCCAAGTATATCGTTAGTATTCATCAATTTAAACTAAGATATACTTCTTACCAGACAAGCTTTACACAGAGATTGGACCACAAAGATCCACATGAAGCATGTGTAGAGGGCTGATGCAGGACACATCTGTCTTAGATTTATGGGATGCTCTTTTGAACTTTCCCATTTCACACGCAGAGTAGAGATGGTCCTTTTCGAACTTTATGGCAGGAAGTCCGTCAACCAAATTATGCTTCACAAGCTTTTCTAAATTTTGAAAATTGAGATGCGACAGCTTGTGGTGCCAGAACCAAGCTTCTTCACTCTTGTGAGACACGAGACAGAGAGTCTCTGAGTTGTGTCTTGGTGAGAAGTTCATGAGATACAGATTGCCTTTTCTCTTAGCCATTAGCAACTCCTGACCTGATTCTGACATAATGGAGCAAGCTTCCTTTTGGAACTTGACCTTGTAGCCAGAATCA